TGCCTTGGTCAAAACAACCTGGCTTAGGACTGCTGGTTGGAGTGAGATCATCGAGGCATTCCTCAGGAATGAATGCCACATCCCCGACAAGTGCAGCATTCAGGAAATATCGTGTTTCATATCATGTTGGGAAATAGCTTCTTCAGACTGATGTCCGGTTCGTGGGCTTTGAACACCGATCTTCCAACCTGGCATGCTCCCCATGGCGTCTGTGGTGCGGGATGTTCCGAAACCCAAACGGCCCTAAACCTGGCAAGCTCAAGTGTTCAAGTTTTTGAGATTCGCGGGTAAAGGTGCCGCATGGGGCTTAGTGCCTCGCACCGGCGCGTTCGGGTAGGGAAGATGCATCTTTGGCCCTAAGCTCTACACCCTGCAGATCTTGGGCTGCATCGGGTTTGCGGCCATCCGACACCAGGGACTCTAGATTAGATGGATGCCCTGCGCCAAGTCTTTTGCCGCAGACAGCTCAAAAGGAGCGCTGAACCCGGAACTGTTGAAGCCGGGCCCAATTCTGTCGATTCCTCTACACTCTAGAAGCATGCAAACATCGTACAAACGCAGTAAGAACTGATTGAACATATCTGTATGTATGTATATATATATATATATATATGTATATGTATTTGCATGTTGCGCAGCCCCTAGCTATGATACAGCAAGCCGACATTGTCTACAGTCATTTGTGTCACAGGCATGACCCCCAGCCTTGAAGCCACTTTGTACCCTTCAACTCAGGAGGTCCCATAGGCGACTCCTCAGGCTTGCCATACGGGGCGGCCATCGTCTACACCGCGGTCGGTGGAGTTCACACCCCAAGTGTGTGGTTTAGGGTTCAGTTTTTGAAGGTTCAGGGGTTGAGGCCTTTAGGCTGTGGGTACCTACCGTGCCGGACATTCAGTTTTCAAGTTTTAGAGCCTTCAGTTCCAGTAGTCCGGTCCAGGTCTCTCATGGGTCTTGCGAAACCATACATTCGGTCGCAGGTTTGTTGCCCTGCGATTGGCTGGGTGAGAGGTGTATGAGCAACCTTAATTACAAGCACTGAACAACCATTTCGTAATCCCAGACACCGAAACCCGAACTCCACACAGGACCCTAAAGACTCTTCTTATGCGCCGGACGAGACAAACATACTGCAGCCCGGATGGGAAATTGAGAGTTGCGTCTGAAAGTTGAGGATGCATGGTTCCCGGTTGAGGATTTCGCACGCACAGGGTTAGGCCAGAGGGGACTGGTCGAGGCCCGAGGACGGATGGTAGCAGCATGAAGTTCAGTTTGGGCTTTGGTCTGCAGGGACTCAAGTGACTGAAGGCTTCGGGCCGTTGGCCCTACAGATACCGGAGCAGTTTGGGTTTAAGTTTAATGGCTTTGCCTTTCTGTCAAGGCCTGGAGGCCTTGTTGATATATTGATATGTAGCTAATTTCTCTACACTTCGGTTTGTCGCCTTCGCTTGTTGGTTTGTTTTCACATCGCCGCCCTGCTCGTATCATATTGTTTCAGTTTGTATTGCATCCGTAGAGGTGTACAGCAAGCAGGTCAAGGGTTGTCAACAGGGCTTACCTGTGCTAGCTTTCGCATATGGACCTGCCTTGCGGTTCGTAGAGTGCGATTCTTCACCAACCCTCAATGTTTCCAACGCTTGCTCCTCGCCGTGCCATCCTCGTCAGCAGCTCCGGGACAGTCTCCAAAGGCTTCTGAACAGGGCAGAAGGCAAGGGCTTTGGGGAGTAAGGTTCAGGGCTCGGGCTTTGGGGGATGATGAGTTTCTGCTTTGGTTGCTTTCTGTGGCCTGCACGCTTAAGCTGGTGGTTAGAGATCCTGGCTCAGGGCATGGGGCTGCTGGACAATGAAGGTTTTCAGAAGCAGGGCTTCGCAACCTCCAACCTTCAAGCCCTAAAACCCGATTCCACAACCAAGCCTCAACTGCCGAATCTTTCTAGGTTTTGTAGAATCGAGTTGCTGTTGTCAGCGCCTTCGAGAGAACATTCTCTCCAGCTTTCGTCGTTTTCGGGGTTTAGGGAAGTTCAGGGGTAGAAGGCTCAGCACTAGTAATGTCTTACAGCTGCTCGCCAGAATCCCTTGTACAGGCGATGCAGTTTGCAGTTGCCGCCCCGAGTATGATCACTCAGATCCCCGCTTCCTTGTTTGATCATGGCCTGTATTGAGAGACTGATGGCAGGCTTTCCAGGTTTTCAGATTCGATCTGTTTGAGAATGATGGTCAACCTCGTAAGGCCCGTGCCAAGCCCTGTATACATCCAACATCACGTTGCGCCACCCAGTCTGCACTGCAGGTGCTTATTTCCGGAACAAGTCGCTGCCATGCCCGGCCCTGCATCCTAAATGCCCACCCCAAGCCGCACGCCCTCTGTCCCGCGCCCCGCAGCCCGGCAGGCTGCGATCTCCCTCGCCATGGCTGCAGCTCCGGGAAGCGCCGCACGCGAGTTCTTCGATGAGCAGGTGGGCTTGGGAGTGATTTTGGGGGTGCCCTTGGGTCACGGGGG